TGAACATTGTTTTGCTTTATGCAGGAGATTCTTTGACATATCTACCCAAGTATCAATATTTAAAGTTCTATGATTGATACTTGGAATGAGCTCTTGATGCCTGCCAATATACCATTCAAACAGATATATCAGACTCCAGAATCTTCTGCATTCTATTCTAATGACTTTCTGAAGGAAACAGCACAGATATATGGACATGATAATGCATGTATTCAACCAACGTCCTCTTTTCCTCTGCTTGTCTCTCTTTTCTCTCCTTCACCACTCTGTTGCTCTCTCCCAGACGTTTGGTGAGAAGCTGTTGGGAGTGATGTCATGGATCATGCCCATCTCTGTGGCCTTGTCCACATTTGGGGGGGTCAACGGCTCCCTCTTCACCTCCTCTCGGTCAGTCCATCCATTCATCCATCCATGCATTATTCATACACAAGACTCAACTATCTATCTGTCTGTCTGTCTGTCTGTCTGTCTGTCTGTCCGTCCGTCCGTCCGTCCGTCCGTCCGTCCGTCCGTCCGTCCGTCCGTCCGTCCGTCTATCTGTCCGTCCGTCCGTCCGTCCGTCCGTCCGTCCGTCCGTCCGTCCGTCCGTCCGTCCGTCCGTCCGTCCGTCCGTCCGTCCGTCCGTCCGTCCGTCCGTCCGTCCGTCCGTCCGTCCGTCCGTCTATCTCATTTCCGTCTGTCTGTGTCTGCACATACTCCCTTTTATTAAATATATTGGCATCCTAAATAACAGTATTTTTGGGTCGTCCTCACATTGTTCAGGTTGTTCTTCGCGGGTGCACGTGAAGGTCATCTACCTAGCTTACTGGCGATGATTCATGTGAAGCGCTGCACCCCAATTCCAGCCCTACTCTTCACTGTGAGTATTATATATACCCCCCTCTCCCTCTTCTTTATACCTCACTCTTACTTTTGTTGAGCTTGAATGGACTTCATGATGTGACATCAAACACTCTCTCTTGCAGTGCATCTCAACACTTCTGATGCTATGCACCAGTGACATGTACACACTCATCAACTATGTGGGTTTCATCAACTACCTCTTCTACGGTGTCACTGTTGCGGGGCAGATTGTGCTGCGGGTTAAACAACCAGATATGTACCGGCCAATTAAAGTAAGTGCTGAGAATTACTGAAACCCAGTGTTTAAAAAAAACATATTGTAAAAATCAATATCAGTTTTTGCTCAGTGATCTTAATGTGATTGTCCAGTTCCAGGTACTCTGTCTATACGTCCCATATAAGCTGAAACCTTAAGATAATTTTTCCTTCTTACTGCTAACGTTACTTCTGCTACTCACAGATCAGTCTGGTGTGGCCTGTCATCTACCTGCTGTTCTGGGCCTTCCTGCTAATCTTCTCTCTGTACTCGGAGCCTGTGGTGTGTGGCATTGGCTTGGCCATCATGCTTACTGGAGTCCCTGTCTATTTCTTGGGCGTGTACTGGGACAACAAACCCCAGTGTTTCAATACATTTGTTGGTAAGTTGAACACAATGATGTTCAAAGATGTGTTAAGCTTAACGATAACATCACTATATTACGTCTGATGAGAAACTATGTACCTCACACTCAAGAAATTAATACTTTTATAAAATTACTTTTTAAGAAATTAATACTTTTAATTAATACTTTTTTCAAAAGTGACAGTATTTATAATGAAAAGATTTATATTTCAAATAACTGGTTTTGAACTTTCTATTCATCAAAAAATCTTGAAAAAAGGTATGGCACATAAACTGAATTCTTTGTGTTTTCAGACAAGATGACATACCTGGGTCAGAAGTTTTGTGTAGTGGTCTACCCGGTGGAGGATGAGAAGAAAAACGAGGAGTCTGGAGAAGAGATCGAACTGAAGGAGCAGTCGGTTCCACTGTCAGCAGAGGATGAGCAGACACCGAAATCAGCTGACTGCTGAACAGACATGTGGAGACACAATCATTCACTCACATACGGGCAGCCAGACTTATTCAGATAGACACTGGAAATCAAACTCAGATTTTTCACATACCTCTATATTTTGCCTTTTCATAAAGAGGGGGTTGCACAGAGTAATGAACAGAGACTAGCTGCTCCACAGGTCATGTGCTTTGGTAGTCTTTTACAACGTTCTCCGTTATCTCTAGTTGCTAGTCCCTTAGCAACTGCCTTCTACTGCATTGGTTGTGCAACAGAATTACAACATTAAAATGTGGGATGACATAAAGCTCTAGAATGTATTACTTATAAACACTGGTTTGGAAGGGTCTGCATTTTTTACAATGACCTTTCTGAAACATTCTTTTCTATGAGAAACAGAGAATTAGAATTCTGTTTAGTTTATGCTAAAAATGCCAAAATACATCATGGCTTCGCCTGAGATGACAGGGTTCATTTTATTTATTTATTTATTATCGAGTACATTCTAATGTTCTAATTCTTACCCCCTCTTTATTTTTTTATTTCTGTCCCCAACACTCCCAGGAGTACTTTTTTTTTTTTTACAAGCCAAAGCTGTATTTTAATTTGACATTTTCTAATTTCAAGTGTATTTCATCACACCAAAACACTCAGAAGCATTTCTGTTTATATATTTTGATATTTTTGATTTTCCCATTCTAATCATATTCCTTTGTCATTATGAAATTGTTATTGTTCTTTTACATTTTATTTTCTCTTTTCTCTTTCCTGAAGGAAAGCTCTAGGACCTTTTTGTAATCATCATCATATATATATATATATATAAGAACCAATTGTGGTGGTTCAGAGTAGTTTTCTATCAGGTTACTCTGGTACTGATACAATTTCAACTCTTTAAGTTATTATCGCTGTTAAAGAGAATTTTTCTTTCTGATATTTTTGAGGATAAAAAGTGTTCATGGAAAACTTGAAGATTCCATTGTGAAATGAAGTGTTGCAATGGTATCTTCTTTCTGTGTGGACTTTAAACAGAGAATATGCCTACTGATGCCATCGGCTTTACAGCCACAGTCATAACCCACAAGTTCGCTTTCACACAGTTTAATTATTTCACAAGTATATAAACAAAAATATATTCAATTGCAGTGCGTTTGGTTATATATGGTAAAAAGAAAAACAATAGTAGTGCATAGCTAGTGTCTGTGATGTAGCTGAAAGCCTGTGAGAATGTCATAATTTTGGTCCTGTCATTTTCTATGTGAATATTCAAAAACTTGAAATCAGTTGTCAGAAGAGCTCGTTAAATCAGTCTTATTATGCACAATATATATTATAATTGTGTAGATGGACGGTAGGTGTTAATGTAGGTGCAATACAAGGGTCTAGAATCAATCGATCAAGCTAACAAACATAGTTTGGATGATTACATTAATATACTAAATTACTGAATTACACACCAAAATGGAGAGCCTTAAAGATCATTAATTTTCTAAAGAAATTGCTTAAAAATATATTCATTTGTGTAAGTAAATAATATATGCTCAGTTCAAGAATACGTGATTAAAGTGTTAAGCATGTATGTCACTTGTCCATTCAAGCGTGTAAGGATTTTGAGTGGTCACAGGGTCTTTTCATTGTGCCTCTGTGTTGATGTCACATCACCCACTTGTGAAGACTATGGAGAAGTGCCAATTGTTCTTTGTTTTATTATTATTATTGCTGATCTGTAATGTGTAGGTGCTGTATAAAAAGCAATTAATATCAGTGTAATTCATTGCACATCCATTTTGCATGAGCTTAATCCCCCACATTCCTTAGAGACTATGATATCAAATCTATAACCTTCTCACTTACACAATAATCACTGCCTTTTGGTTCCTCTGTCCTAGTCAGGCTGCAGCGACGAGGCCCGTTATCATCATCCATTATTCAACTGACTGTGTAAACTTTCATCATTGTATGTATCATCAAAGGTGCAGAGCATCTTTGGTTGTAGTAATACTACTCCTGAGCTGTGCCTCAGTATCCAGCACTGCCTAATGTGTGCTAAACACAAACACTATGTGTATTTATATGGAAGCTGCAACTCTGATTGTGCTGCAGTATTAGGCTTTCCTATCCACACACACTTTCATACAGGTGATACCAAAATCCATGCAGAATGAATTCTGTCACATATTTGATTGTCCTCACAATTATATAAATATCAATAAGTATGACTTTTATAGATTATATTAAGATATGTAGTCTAAAACGACAAAAACCACAAAGCTCAAATTACCACTTACACATAACTGGGGGTGAACGGTTTGTACCAGAGTCTTCTTGTTTACTATATGTTTTGTATTTGTTTGAACAGTGTATATTAAACGACAAATAAATCTATATGCTGAACCAGGGAAGACTTGTTTATTTAGGCTGACATGAAAAGACTGCTACACTGCCACCTACTGCAAGTCAGGAGAATGACTGATTGAATGATGATGGTCACCTTGTTCCAATAGGTCACAGCTGTCACAACTATTTAAGAATAAGAATTGAAATGTTTTTCAACTTATTTGGGGTATTTAGTCACCCCATGGGTTGCATATTTTTTATGGGACTTCACAACTATATTGCATGTCTGCAAAATGTAGTAACTCACTCAAAACATGACTTATGCTTCAAAACCTAGTTATTTTGTCGGTAAATTGGCCAACGTCACCAAAACGAAAAGTTTTGTCATTGTGTGAGCTATACTGGTCAAAATGTTTAGATGTTTTTTGGCAGACAACCCTGGAAACCTTTGTTATATACAAAGGATCTTTTTGTTCTACTTTTTTGATGACATTGACTGTCAGTTTTGCCTAGCTGAATGCTGCTGTGTATCACACTGAGCTTTTTAGATACAGTTTTTAACAGTGGATAAAAATGTCAATACTGAAGTACACTGAAAAATAATACGCACATTTGTATGCATACAGTACATTTTTTATCAGTGTGGTGCATGTAAACAAAACACACACACACACATATATATATATATGGAATATTTTTTAATTGAGCCAAAGCAATTGAGGAAATCCTGAAAACCCTTTGAATGATGAAAGAATAAATAAACAATATTACATGCTTAAATGGTTGCATCAATTTTTATTGACAAACCGATACATCAGTTTTACCTTGATTTTTAACACGTCTTGTAAACTTAACAAAAAGAGCACAATCATGCTCTTAACAAATGAGATGAATATTCATCAAACAATATTTTGATGAATATTCATCAAAAAGCTGATGAATATTCCAACAAAGAATGCAGTGGCTACCACTCATCAGTCCAGATGGTTCAAATAGTTTCTGACGACATGTGTGAATATATTGGATCTCAAAGGTGGCCAAGGCAGGACTGCCGGTTACATAGATGTGAGGAGGCTGCTGGGATGCTGGTGGACCCGCCCACCTCTTAGTGCAAGAACCAGATGTAGCACGGAGCCACCCTGGATCTTGTAATCAGCTGCCGTTTTCTCATCATTCCTGAGGTGGAGAAGATGGAGGTTTAGAATAAAAATACAGAAATGTACAAGAGCATGATAAATGTGCACGTTAAATGCATTACATCTGTTTTCCACTGTAGATGAGTCTCTGTTGCTGGGGTGGGATTCCCTCTTTTTCCTCCACTCTCTCTTTTATTCTCTCCACCTGAATAGGGTGGATGCATCAATACACATCAAATCAACTGCTCTTTGCTGTCAACTGTGTAAAATATAAACGACTGCGGGATCATCTTTTAATATTTGCTGTAAATCCTTAACCATTTTTTATTGTACCTTGTCTGTAGGCTCGATGTCGATCTCGATTTCTTTGCCAGTGAGTGTCTTTAAAAACAATGAGGACGATTAATTAATTTAGATGTAAGATTTCCCTCCGAATGGATATTTTATCATATTTACATGCGATGGTTCGTTATAATATTATTTATGTACGTCATATTGTAATAAAATTCTGTTTGTCTGATTCGCAGTACCTTACTATATTTAATAGCTCAGACTAGAACCATACTTTATAAGAACTGTGCTGAATGAAATAGCTGTTCTTCGTTAATTTCTTACCTTGACTTTAATTAGCATTGTAGCTTCTTCTGTTCTAGAAATACATGCAGGGAAATTGAATGCGAATACAATGAAGTGATGGTAGAAGTTCAGGCACCTCTAATCAAATTATTTCCACAATTCCCCCACTGAATTTCCTGCGTTACTAAAAAATAATTCCTACCATTCTAGTGTCTGTAGGAAACGTTCCGAGGGGCTGTGTGGAAAAATAAGAGGCTTTTGATGACAGATGACGATTTAGAATTTCGTAAAATGAACTAATTGTTTTATATTTTATAATTTAAATACACATAACTTACTAAACTAACTCTAAGTAACAAAATATTTCAGTTGAATTCAAACTGACAGGGAAAAATAAAATGTGCGACATTTATTGCGACAGTACGCTGCGAAGCAGTCGTTGTCTGTAGTTTTTTGCCGAACGTTCGAACTTGAATTTACGCTCAAGCCGTCAGCTTAAAGACTACAGGAAACGCGCTGACAGCCGTAAACATCCGCCCTCCTAAAATGACCGCTCCAACCCGGAAAGCGGTGTCATTCTCTCTCATACAACCTTTCAAGGAGGTTCTCGCCTCCAATTATAGGTAGGACAAAATTTATTTTGTAGCGTCTATATATAAGGACACACGTATAATTGTTTGTAATGGACAGTAAAAACATTTAGTGTCAAGATGACAGAAAATCAGCAATTATGCTCTTGTGGCCTAGATTATCTGACAGCTAAGACGTGCAGAACACCGAACCAGATGTGAGACATTTGAGGGTCATTTTATTTTTATGGTGCATTGCTTTACTGTCTGAAATTAAATTGCTATTTGGTATCACAAAATGTTTAATAATAGATTTAGAGTTTTTTTTTAATGATTATGAAAAAGGATATTTCCTGTCTCACACTGTATCACCCTCCCCCTTCCTCATCCTCTGCAGCTCAGCTCTCATAACTGAAGGAGTGGGAATGTTTTTCTTTCCCTTGTCTTGTGTTTTTGCAGACAGTGAGATACGGTTAGAGCAGTCTCAAGGCCATCCTCTTCAGCAGCCATGCCACGCATTGAAAATGATATCAAGCTCGACTTCAAGGACGTGCTGCTTCGACCCAAAAGAAGCACTCTCAAATCTCGCAGTGAGGTTAGTCACTCTTAATATGTTTTTATTTGCATTATAGATGACATATAGGCCTTTCACAGACGGGGTTTAGACTAAGCCAGGATTAGGCCATAGTTCAATTAGGAAATTTAAGTAATTTTTATAAACGCGCTTTAGAGAAAACATCACTGGTGTGCATCTTGAGACAAAACAAAGGCACTGATATATTTTAAGATCAGTCAGTGCAAGTTTCTTTCAGTTGAAACAGCTCAGACTTACATTTTAGTCTAGGACTAGGCTTAAGCCTTGTCTGTGAAACCGGGGGTAGGAATGGGCATCATGGGAAGGACAGAGAGACATCGCTGTACGGTGGCTCCAGCGCCATTGATTCGACTCATTTTCAGCTCGGTGAGAATAAATCACGTCCAGCGCGAGGCGTGTGGTGATGGAGAGCCGGCTAATGGCTAGTTCTCCAGCGGCGAGAGCCGTCTGACCCCTCGGGTCAAAGCAATAATGAAAGTGTCCCGGCCTTTATCACAGCTCGCTGGCCTCCTCATCCGTCTGCCTCTCATACAGCGCACAGTCGGTCTGTAGAGGAATGACTTAAGCGTCTTTAATCGCTCATACACGGCCCCTCGGCTCCTTAAAGCTGAGACTGACGCCCATTCCTCCACCGAGGCCCCCTCAGAATAAATATATAAGACCAGCACTGTTTTATACTGTAATTCTTTATTTATTGAAATTGAAGCCATGATCTATGGCCTGGTTTCACAGACAGGGCTTAGGTTAAGCCAGGATTAGGCCATAGTTCAATTAGGAAATTTAAGTAATTTTTATAAACGCGCTTTAGAGAAAACATCACTGGTGTGCATCTTGAGACAAAACAAAGGCACTGATATATTTTAAGATCAGTCAGTGCAAGTTTCTTTCAGTTGAAACAGCTCAGACTTACATTTTAGTCTGGGACTAGGTTTAAGGCTTGTCTATGAAACCGGGGGATCAAGTATTAGTTTGGTCTGGCCTCAGTTTAATTAAAGTCCCACTGCAATCACTTTCATTACTTTTCACACTCTCTTCTGTTTCTCATCTGTTTCAGGTGGATCTAATGCGCAGTTTTACGTTCAGAAACTCAAAGGGCAGTTACCGTGGGATTCCCATCATAGCTGCCAACATGGACACCGTGGGGACTTTTGAAATGGCCTTAGTCTTACATCAGGTATGAATGAACTCTTTTCTAATTTCCATACAGCTGAACACATCAGTCTCAACAGAAACCTGAACAAACACCTCCATGATATCAAAAAATGTTTAGACACCGGAAGAAAAAGAGTACTTATCAGAAACTCTATATTTTATGTCAGCATAACCTGATGAAACCTGATTTTCTATAATTTCTTTAATTAAAAAGGCATGAAAAACAGATGTTTAAAATGCATTATTTTTGGTATTGATGTCCAGAATTAAATTCTGACTTGGTACTTTAGCCTATGACTTCTCAGGGTCTACAGATGATAAGTGTGCACTGTTGCATGTTTAGCAACTTTTTGTCCTCTTAACAGATGGCAGGTTATAATAATTATTGTAATTTTTTTTTTGTAGTTTAGTCTCTTTACAGCTATCCATAAGCATTATTATGTGGATGACTGGAAGGAGTTTGCAGCCAAGCACCCAGAATGCTTACAGGTGAGCAACATCTTCGCTAGAATTTTAAATCTAGTCAGCAGATCTCTAGATTATTGATATTTAAATGATGACATGCTTTCTTTGTTTCTCCAGAGTGTAGCAGTCAGCACGGGGACGAGTGATGGGGACTTTGAGAAACTGGGGGCCATTGTGGCTGCTGTACCTCAGATTCAGTACATATGTGTGGATGTGGCCAATGGCTACTCTGAACACTTTGTCAACTTTGTCAAAGATGTGAGGCAGAAGTTCCCTACGCACACTATCATGGTCAGTTACCTGTGAACAACAACAGATAAACATTTTATTGACATTATCTCGTTAACAGTCATCTTAATAATTTGAAATATATTTGTGTTTTGTAGGCTGGCAATGTGGTCACAGGAGAGATGGTTGAAGAGCTGATTCTTGCTGGTGCTGACATCATCAAAGTGGGCATTGGACCAGGTGATGTCATCAGTCGTCTATTGGCACGGTTTCAGATGGTGTTCAGATTCATATTACACCAGTTTCACACATATGTTCATGTGTGTAGGTTCTGTGTGCACCACTCGTAAGAAGACTGGTGTGGGTTATCCTCAGCTGAGTGCAGTCATTGAGTGCGCTGACGCTGCACACGGCCTGGGTGGACACATCATATCTGTGAGACTCTCGTGTTTCAGAGCAAAGTTCTTACATTAATCCGATAAAGCTGCACATTACATTAACCATGTGAAATTCTACAGCTTCTAAATCAACATGAAAAACCTGTTACACATAGTCTACTACATGCCTTCTGTCCTCTGATTAAAGGCCTTTTCTTATAATTCTAAAACGGCCACCCTCAGGTTGTGTTATGAAGTAAACATAAGTGTAAGGATAATATTGTTAATAATATTTTAAGATGAACATTTGTTGGACTGAAACACCTTAGGTTTACTTGATTATCCACACATCATGTTTTAGAAAAATCGTGTTAAGATGTAAGTGTCAATTATGATAAAACAGGCTTTTTAGGAATGTTTATTTTATTTATCTCTTAATCATCATTGTATTGCTTTGCTTTATATTTTGCCCCCCAAAATTAAAACCGCAGAGCTTTGATCATAAGGCTGAACATTTAAATACCATTTACTAAGATATATTATTGCGAGATATAGAGTGACAACTGATATTTTTTGTGCATTATATGTAAGGGGTCTCTTATAACGTTATAAAAATCTTGTGAAAAATCTCTTGATTTAGCTATCAGAATTTCATCTTCCTTTTAGTCCATATGAAATAAAAGCCCCACAATATGTAATATCCTTCTCCAAATTGCATATTTTTGCTCAGTTTGGGCCTGTTTTTCCTCCTTGAGTATAAGCTCCATATTCTCACTATATTATATTACATGGGCTATAAAAGCCTGATGTATCAAATATGGACAAGAAACTTGAAAAAAAATATATATATTAAAAAAATATATATATATTTTTTTTTTTCTATTTTTTGGATTACACCGGACACGAGCGGCGCAACGCGACTAGACAACAGAACCCATTATAATCGGCAATTCTGTCTACACTGGATGCGGCACGGATTTTACACAACAAATCCCTGACAGTAAACTGATGTCCCGCTCTATTTCTGACATACAAGCACTTCTGACCTGAAAGAGAAATTGATTTGCAACATGACGCAACAGCGCTCGCGTCCGATCTAGATACGGTGTTTGGATCACAAGGAAGGCAATTTATAGACTATTTTTCACAACTTACACTACACAGTGTCTTGTAATCTTGTAATGTCATTTGTATGGTTCTGTTGATGGAGTAATCCTGTGTTCGCGTCTCTCTAGTATTTCCTCTCCTACTGCTACATGTATGCACGTATCAGTGGGTGGGGCTAAACAGGCAGTGATGTAGAAGCAGGCGTTGATCTTGCAGAGGCGGGCTTTCGCTGCACTATTACGTACAATGACCTCTTATATGTCAAAAGATCAAGGGAAATTTGATTTCTCAGTTCATGACCCCTTTAAACAAATGATTTTTCTGACATTATGCCAGGCTTTATTGTGATAGCAATGAAAAGTAACAGACCCACCCTGCTGCTTGCATGCTTTGTAGACACAGAATCTTTGATCATGTATTTGTGGGACTCATCTGTTTTTCATCTTGCTGTAGGATGGGGGATGCACCTGCCCAGGCGACGTCTCTAAAGCATTTGGTGAGTTTTGGTAGCACTGCATTATAGTAATGGCATAAAACAAGAAAGCAAGTCATCTTAGTAGCCTCAAATGTTGGATTCGGATATTTCTTGTTTCCTTACTACATGTGCAGGCCACATTTTCTTGGAATTGCTCTGTTTCTTCTTCTTCTTCTTCTCCAAAGTGAATCGCATTTGCTCAAAAACTCACAAAACTGCACACGCGTCAGAACTGGTGAAAATTTACATCTGATATAGGTTTCATAATTGGGCGTGGCAAAATGGCTTGATAGCGCCACCTATAAAATTTAAACGAAGTGCCCCTCCCATTATGTTTCACATTCATGTATGAAATTAGGTAATGTCCCAATACCTACAAAGAAGTCTCTTGGAGCAAAGTCCTAAACGCAACAGGAAGTCAGCCATTTTGATTTTCCTCTACCATTTTTGTGCAGTTGTTGCCACTTTCAGGCCTTGTACTTTAACAAACTCCTCCTACAGTTTAATCGGATCATCTTCAAATTTGGTCAGTGTAATCATAAGGCCTGTGCGATAATAAATTGTGAAGATCTTGAGTTTTTGTTAAAGGGCATGTCCGTGGCGGCCTGACAAATTTGGATGTTTCGCCATGGAAAATGATGTTGTTGCAACTCCATACCATTGGACAACCATACAATGTCCAATCCAAACTTCACACGTTTGATAAGAGTCTTGGCCTGAACACATCTAAAGGCCAATATTCAGTTATAGTCATAGCGCTACCAGCTGGCAGCAGGAAGTTTGGCACATATAAATGACTTTGACATATTCCTCCTATATATTCCTATATTCCTCCACTTTAAATGCGTATTGCCCACCGTTCACTGTTTTCCTAAGGCCACCAGGTGGAGGGCTCCGGGTGCAAGGGCCCTTTCAACTCTGCTTGCAGCTTTAATTTAGATGTTGGTCACAACCAGTGTCACATCAGTCTTGTGTTTGATTGGCTAAACTGTGTGGCAGGGGCGGGAGCTGACTTTGTGATGCTGGGAGGAATGCTTGCTGGTCATTCTGAGAGTGGGGGCGAAATCATAGAGAAAAACGGCAAGAAGTACAAACTGTTCTATGGCATGAGCTCAGACACGGCCATGAAGAAGCATGCAGGAGGCGTAGCAGAGTACAGGTAAGCTCATGAGAGACAATATCATGCTGAAGCTTGTGGATTATTTTATCTAGTGGTTTGTAAATTACATTACACAAATGTTATTTGATAAATAAGCAATCAAGTCATCTTTATTTATATAGCACATTATAAAATAGAGATTGTTTCAAAGCAGCTTGACAGAAATAAACAGACAATAAAAGAATCAAAGCTACAAACTTCTCTAAATATTATACAAATTCAAATTCTGCTGTAAAGCAGCTTTAAAAGGACAATAGCATCTTTATTCAACTCAAGTCAGTTCCGTCTTGATTCAGTTAATTTTAATAACTGAAATAACAGTTAATAACTTATAAAATCCATCAGTTATGAACTGAATTTGATTCAGCTATAAAGCAGCTCTACAGAAGGCAGTAGTGTCATCATCCAGCTCAATTCAGTTGTTTTGTTCTTGTTCTCATCCAAAAGTGTCAGAAGTCAGGCCTGAATATTAAATCTAATGGCTAGGGATGTAACAATTCACTCAACTCGATACGAGTCACGATTATTTCACGTTACGATTTACTCACATTTTTTTTTTTTTTTTTACAAAATGAGATTTAAGACATTATAAATAAAAAGATGTACTTTTATTATTGCTTGGACAAAATGCTGCACATTTCTTTGAGAAATTAAAAAATAACAAAACTAAATTGACATTTTAAAACAAATCCCAAATGAAATAAATGAATAATGCAAATAAAAGAAATCTCTTCATATAAACAAAATAAGGCTTTGCCTGTGCTCTTTCCATTTAAACTTAGAGGCAACCACTGTATTTTAATCACAATTACAAAGCAGTTTTTAATCTAAATTAGATTATATAATTTCGAAATGTGAAGCAAAAACAGAATGGTCTGACTTTAGTTTTGGGAAACTATACTTCAAAGAACATCTGAACGCAACAGAAATAGCAGATGGGCTGAATGAGACGCAAATTCACTCTCTGCCAGCAGGTGGCGCTTATGGAACAGCAGCAATACAGCGTTTCCTTTTGATTCAGTCACTTTGACATTGCATTTGCTAATCCTTATGGTGAAACCCCTTCCTCCAAATACTACTGAAGCCTTATTGAATTACACCAGTACACTGGCCAATGGCGTTCAAGCACGCAAAATATGAGGGGCTTCCCTCTCTATATAAGGCAGCGCTTGGATGTCATCCATTCAGAATCTTTTCCTTCAGCCAACCTTCTGCAAGAAGCAAGAAGCCTATCTTCAAAGACTACTCACCGTGATCTACAAGCTGCAGTGGACAACGCCTTCTCTTCCCCTGCTGTGTTCCGGTGAGCTTTGGACAAGGATGACCTCTCGCGATTGCCTCTCCTGCGTAAAGCCAATAGAAACTTCTGATGACCATGAGTCGTGTGTCTTCTGCCTGGGTCACGCCCACTCGGAGGCGGCGCTTGGGGAGTCGGTCTGCCCCCACTGTGCAGATATGAGCCTCCGGACTCTCAGGCTCCGTGTGGCCATCATCCAAGTTGATGAACTTACGTTTTGGGAGATCATTTTTAGTCCATCTCCTATCCTGAAAAGTCTGTCTTGTCGAGATGTACTAAAAATGACCTTCCAAAATTTACTGGCAAATTCCTGAAGATAAATTCTTGAAAGAGTGGTACAAGAGGATGTGGTGCTGGTCCTTCAAGAGTCATTCTCAACCTGCCTATCTATAAAAGCCTTTAAAAATCAGTCTTCATATTTCACAACACTTCAGCATGTTATTCTTATTAAGCAGGGGTCATTTTTTTTAGGATTCTTTACCTAACCTAAGTCCCTGAGAATCTGACAACTTGTACTTCTGGAGACTCCAGGTAGATTTCAGTTCTGAAAAATGCTGGAACTGGAGACTAAAGGGTTCCTGATGGTTTCACACCTAATTCTTCACCTTAATTCCTAATTCTTTTGCTGTTAATGTGTCTTTTCTTCTCCACCAGTTTTTTTCTGACCCTGCTGACCCAGTGAGCATTTCGCTCTCCAATGATCATGCCTTTTCTAGTATTGCATCCTTCTCATGGCCATTTAATAATTTTTGACTTTTCAGTTTGAGTTAAAGGGGTCATATGATGCTGCTAAAAAGAACATTATTTTGTGTATTTGGTGTAATGAAATGTGTTTATGCGGTTTAAACTTTAAAAAACACATTATTTTCCACATACTGTACATTATTGTTTCTCCTCTATGCCCCGCCTTTCTGAAACGCGTCGATTTTTACAAAACTAATCGGTCTGAAAAGCGAGGACAGGATCAGTAAACAGTCCTCCATAAAATGTGCTGCACACATCTGGATATTTGGGTTAAACTGTTCTGGAACAGTGTTGTAAATACAACTTAACCACTGATTTGTAGTCGTGTCCTCTTTTGGAAGACCAAACAAAGTAGTTTCGCTTTCACAACGAAAAACACAGCGGCCTAGTGTGAGCGGAGGCCGGGCTAGCGTGAGCGGAAGCGGCGGCTTAGCGTGAGCTGAGGCCGGGCTAGCGTGAGCAGAGAACGGCGTGCCCGGCGGATCCGACGAAGGAGCGGCAACCACAGTGAAAGCCAATCCGGCGATCCACAGCACTAAGTTCATGTATTCCCTCAGCGACCAGCACAGATCAGCTCTACGCATGACGAAGCGGATATCGTCCTCTTTTGGAAGACCAAACAACTTTTTTGGCTCATTTTATCTGTAAAAGAAAGCCTGCTTAATAATTATGCACACCTGAATGTAAGGCGTTTTTCACTTCCATCCTTCATAGACAATTATATATCATTTATAAATGATTAAAGACTAAATGAATAGTAGTTATTTAGATTGATGTGGTCTGAAGTTGGTAAAATCTGCTTGGAAAAAAAATATGACCAGAATATCAACTTGCATAATTATTATGCACGCACTGTAGAGACTTTAAGACCTGAAGTGGGCCAGAAAAGGTAAAGAGTTTTGAGAAAATATGATGCGTGTCAGATCTGCGTCATGTTCAGCAGTGGCAGCTCTTAAAGCAGCCAAAATAACCTAATAACCCAGCTGGTTTCCCCATAAGCATTAGCAAAATGCAATGTCTCATTCCCTCATCTCAGGGAACCAAGGTTATGTGAGTAACCAGAGACGTTTCCTTGGTTGCCGCTGTAAACACAGCAGCGTTGTGTTTATGAACTCTGTTTTAATATGCATTATACAGAACCAAGATAAAAAGAAAATGCCATCTAAACTTTTCTAAAGACAGTCAGTTCCCCTCAGAGATACATTCACATAAACTCCTACCCCCAAATATATTGCGATTCGTTTAACATCTCAACCGATTTGAATCGTCACACATTTGTATCAATTTCAACTGGCTCGGGGTGCATACAAAAGAAAAACTAGGAAATCAATAACTTTTGTAGCTTTAAGGATTCATCTTTATTTAAATTAGAACTTAGTGTTTGATAGTCATAAAAAGATGCCATTAAACAGCTGTCTTTATGTTCTTTCTACATTCATTTGAAGATTGAATGTGAAATTATTGCAATATAAAAGTATATTTGAAAATGATTTAAAAAAAAAAAAGAGTGATTTTTGGACTGTCAACACAACTCTTGAGTTGATTAATATTGATTGTATTTTTTTTTTGTTTGTTTTCAGGGCGTCAGAGGGTAAAACAGTTGAAATGCCTTACAAAGGGCCTGTGGAGGTGACGGTGAAAGATGTGCTGGGTGGAGTTCGTTCTACCTGCACATACGTGGGTGCTGCTAAGCTGAAAGAGTTGAGTCGTCGTACCACCTTCATTAGGGTGACCCAACAACTCAACACAGTATTTGGTAATGATAATTAAGCCAGTACTAAGGTCTAATCAGGTCCATAATGGGCCAAATTATGCCAAATCCATGCAAAGGTCATTTTATTCTCTCTGCAGTCAGATGCACACATAAGCATATTCACACACACACACACACACATGCATACATACACACACCTCACATCATCATTTAGTGTTTTTGGGCCCGCACATAAGCTTTTGAATTCAAAGGCTTTCCCCAGATGCTGTATTAAGGCCTAAAGCAACTGCATGGCCTTTTCATTTTTTATTAATCACTATTTGAAAACTTCTAATTTCGGAATTATTTGATGAGTTTTCAAGGACACTGTAATACCAACTTCTTACATTCTGTCTGTTTTAGTCTTATACTACACTGTAGTACAATGAGAACATCAATTTGGTTTCATTACACCGTACTGAAAGTGTATGTTTTGTGCAGTTTGTGTTTTAGGTCATAGCCTTAAAATCTTGAGTTTGTTCTCTGTTCATTTGTCTAAACAACCTCTTTTAGAGCTTTATATTTTATCCAGAAATTTCAGGTACTATTTTAGACCTTGTTGTAGATTTTAGCTGAATGTCTATGCCTAATGTCTTATATTCATATGATATTTCTGGGATTTTCTGAGAACATTCTGATTCGTCATTCTGTTCACTAGACCAATGCAGATCCTTGCAAGGATTATTAAAGTATTAGCTGTCTATTATACAATATGCTAAAGACCTCTGTTATAAACAACCATTATATTAAAAAGAATATATCTGAAGACCAAGCAAGGGTATTTTTTACCCTTTTAATGGTTTCTCCTGTGTTTGTATGTAACAAATGCAGTGGTATTACACACTTTTGAAGTCTTAATCGGTTCCTGTATAAGTATTGGCATAATTTTATGCATTTGAGCTTGGTTTGATCATTAGACATACTGCATACTTAAAACTTTAATACTTAACTCTTAATTAACCTTAATGATTTCATTGTATTTTTTGTTATTCATTTAATACTTTTGGCATTCCATTACAGTTAGTGTCCTCATTGATTGTGATTTAAAGTTGCTGCTGGAGCAGATATGAATGAATGTTTAAGAAATACATTTTTCCCCACTTACATATTTTGCTGAAAACCAGAAGATCCCTATTGGCTGATAAATAGGCAGTTTAATTTGATTACAAATTTTTACATGCTGTTAAATCACATTTTGTACCTTATATTTCACTGCAGTTCAAACATCTCTGTATTGTATTGTGAAAATAAATTATTTAGATGATCACTGAAGAATGACTTGTGTTTGCTTTGTAGGTACATAACGTTCAATATTCAAAATATTAATTTACAATTTGAATTCAGATAATTGTGTTTGTGTCAATAAAGCCTTTGATCTGTTTGTCAAGGTCCATGTAAACATGCTAACGCCCTTCTTTTATTACATTTAAGACTGATGAGGAGTAATTTATGCACATCAGGTACAGAAAATTCCAAAGATTTCCCTGTGACTCTCACATACTGCTTCTTACTGAGAACACTGGATCTGGATCTGTTTTCACTGAAGCAGGGAGAAAGTGAAATGAGTCAGTCTCAGAATGAAAGCATGTTACCACACGATACATCAGAATGCAGTCAGTTACAACATAATTGCATGGGAGCGGTTACGATGTCACATATTGTAAAAAAGAAAAGAAAAAAAAAGGTGACATGCGTACAATGAGGAACAGGTGACAATACACGCTTTCCTTCCTCCTGCGTTACACCACAGCTGCACTGAAGACACACAAGAGGCCACACAGACCTAGAGGTGAGGAAAACGTCTCATTTGTTAGTGAAATGTATTCCTTTCTAAGTGCTTATTCGATTGGTGCATCACCCTTGCATTTTTGTTATGATTTCTCTTAATGTCTATTATTTTAAAAGCCATTCGAAATACACTTTCAAACTTAATTTGTAACTTAATGCGAATCTTTATAGTAATATCAATTGAAGTATATGTTGAATTTAAAGCCTGCATCAAAACTGGTTTGACCGGTTCAATTTGTTTAAAAGGGAGGGGCAAGTAGAGATATTGTGTGTGTATGCATTGCTTGTACAATCATTTTGTTTTCTTCTTCCACCAGCGATGGCTTCTTCCGTCAGTTCCCAGGCTGAACAGTGCCTGTGTTCAATATGTCAGGATTTCTTCATTGACCCAGTAACCATTCCGTGCGGACACAACTTCTGCATGGCATGTATCAGTCAACACTGGGACTGCAGTATGGAGACTCGATGCCCCCTTTGCAAGAAGAACTTGCATTTGAGACCAGATCTTGGCATCAATAGAGAATTCAGAGAGCTTGTAGAAGGGCTGAAGAGGGTGGAAAGTCCTGTCCAACCTGGTGCAGTACCATGTGATGCCTGTACAAAAATAAAGAGAGGAGCTTTGAAGTCTTGCTTGCACTGTGAAGGATCGTTCTGTAAAATACACCTAGAGCCTCATAACACTGTAGCAAAACTGAAGAAACACAAACTTATCAACCCTGTGGAGAATCTGGAGGATTATATCTGCCCGAAGCATGAGAAGCCGCTGGTGCTGTTCTGCAGAGATGATCAGAAGTGTGTGTGCCTGTCGTGCACGACAAAAGACCACAGAAGCCACAACACTGTTCCTGTAGAGGAGGAGAGTGAAGAAAGGAAGGTGAGAGGTGCTTCATCTTTATCTGTGCTTCAACGGCTTTCAAACGTTGCCTTAATGAAAGTTTCATTTCTGTCCACAGTCCCAGTTCGGGAGAAGACAAGCCGAGGTTAATTTGATGATTCAGAACAGAATAAAGAAAACTGAAGAAATCAAATGCTCAGTACAGCTTGCCAAGGTTAGTCTTGTTGAAAGTTCATTGCATAGTTTTATTTAATGTGGTCAGAACGCCATATTGAAATCTTCTCTGCATTTCTCCTCTTCTCTAGCGTGCTTCCTTGACTAGTTAACCTGTAATACACCTGGAATTGTGTATTACGGATATTGTTGACTCTTTGATGAATTTCTTTGGTCATTCTTATTAGTAAACCGCTTTGGATAAAAGCATCTGCTAAATGCATAAATGTCAATGTAAATTTGGTGGCCATTTAATAAGACTGACTGTACATTATCCTTTACTTAGCAAAGCTCAGAAAAAGAAAAAGCAGACATTGTCGAGCTGTTCACTGATCTGATGCGCTCCATTGAGAGATGTCGGGATGAGCTGCTGGAGGTGATGGAGCAGAAGCAGAAAGCTGCAGAAACACAGGCTGAGGGGTTCATTAAAGAGCTGGAGCAGGAAATCACTGAGCTCAAGAGGAGAAACACTGAGCTGGAGCAGCTCTCACACACTGAGGATCACCTGCACCTCCTACAGGTCAGTGTCTCTCTCTCTCTCTCTCTCTCTCTGCTCACATCACAGGATAACACTCAACATGCTGGGGGATTTCTCTCTCTCTCTCTCTCCTGCTTTAGATTTATCCATCCCTGTGCAGCCCTTTAGACACCAAGATCTGGACTGGGTTCAGTACTGATACTCATCTGAGGGAGGACGCTCTGAGGAGAGCCCTGACAAAGCATGAAGAATTTCTCAATGATGCAGTGGTGAAGATCACAGGAACTGGTGAGCATGTCCAGTATATAAAAAACAGCTTGTTTTTCTTGAATTTCTATTGTGAATAAATATAAATAGAATTATTCTGTAAGCATTCAACACTATTAAAAGCTAAGACTGCCACAGTTCTATTATTTACATACATTTTTTTAGAAAATAATCAAGTGTATAATCTGTTTCCTCAGAGCTAAAGAGGATTGAGAAGTTTACAGGTACATCATCTATGCCATTTTCCTACATTCATACACAAACATTTTCACATTTATGAATATATTGTGGGCACTTTTAGTCCTATGAACTCTTAAAACTCACTTTTCTTGCTTTGTCAAACAGTGTATCATAGCTAATTTCATAGTTAGCATTTTATTCTTAATAAATACATACAATTTAATAAGACTTTTATACTTTTTACATCATTTGACAAAATTAAAGAGTGACTGGAAATTACACACAAATTCTGCTCAAAAGTAATATTTTCCTTGATGTGTTTTTCACAAATCACGTCTCAAAGCTATCTCAAGCTGTGATGCCATTAAACAGCTGTCTTTATGTTCCTTCTAGATTCATTTGAAGATTGAATGTGAAATTATTGCAATATAAAAGTATATTTGAAAACTTTAATGTTTGGTGGGATTGATCACAGAAAAAATGTGCGATTAATTGCACTTACTGCCGTGTCACCTAGCTCGGGATCTTACTATGCCAAGTTGCTTCAAGCTTCTGAATGGATGACATCCAAGCGCTGCCTTATATAGAGAGGGAAGCCCCTCATATTTTGCGTGCTTGAACGCCATTGGCCAGTGTACTGGTGTAATTCAATAAGGCTTCAGTAGTATTTGGAGGAAGGGGGTTCCCCATAAGCATTAGCAAAATGCAATGTCTCATTCCCTCATCTCAGGGAACCAAGGTTATGTGAGTAACCAGAGACGTTTCCTTGGTTGCCGCTGTAAACACAGCAGCGTTGTGTTTATGAACTCTGTTTTAATATGCATTATACAGAACCAAGATAAAAAGAAAATGCCATCTAAACTTTTCTAAAGACAGTCAGTTCCCCTCAGAGATACATTCACATAAACTCCTACCCCCAAATATATTGCGATTCGTTTAACATCTCAACCGATTTGAATCGTCACACATTTGTATCAATTTCAACTGGCTCGGGGTGCATCGTTACATCCCTACTAATGACCAGTTTGATTTGCACCTGTGCATTCTGATTTAAAAAAAAAAAAGAGTGATTTTTGGACTGTCAACACAACTCTTGAGTTGATTAATATTGATTGTATTTTTTTTTTGTTTGTTTTCAGGGCGTCAGAGGGTAAAACAGTTGAAATGCCTTACAAAGGGCCTGTGGAGGTGACGGTGAAAGATGTGCTGGGTGGAGTTCGTTCTACCTGCACATACGTGGGTGCTGCTAAGCTGAAAGAGTTGAGTCGTCGTACCACCTTCATTAGGGTGACCCAACAACTCAACACAGTATTTGGTAATGATAATTAAGCCAGTACTAAGGTCTAATCAGGTCCATAATGGGCCAAATTATGCCAAATCCATGCAAAGGTCATTTTATTCTCTCTGCAGTCAGATGCACACATAAGCATATTCACACACACACACACACACATGCATACATACACACACCTCACATCATCATTTAGTGTTTTTGGGCCCGCACATAAGCTTTTGAATTCAAAGGCTTTCCCCAGATGCTGTATTAAGGCCTAAAGCAACTGCATGGCCTTTTCATTTTTTATTAATCACTATTTGAAAACTTCTAATTTCGGAATTATTTGATGAGTTTTCAAGGACACTGTAATACCAACTTCTTACATTCTGTCTGTTTTAGTCTTATACTACACTGTAGTACAATGAGAACATCAATTTGGTTTCATTACACCGTACTGAAAGTGTATGTTTTGTGCAGTTTGTGTTTTAGGTCATAGCCTTAAAATCTTGAGTTTGTTCTCTGTTCATTTGTCTAAACAACCTCTTTTAGAGCTTTATATTTTATCCAGAAATTTCAGGTACTATTTTAGACCTTGTTGTAGATTTTAGCTGAATGTCTATGCCTAATGTCTTATATTCATATGATATTTCTGGGATTTTCTGAGAACATTCTGATTCGTCATTCTGTTCACTAGACCAATGCAGATCCTTGCAAGGATTATTAAAGTATTAGCTGTCTATTATACAATATGCTAAAGACCTCTGTTATAAACAACCATTATATTAAAAAGAATATATCTGAAGACCAAGCAAGGGTATTTTTTACCCTTTTAATGGTTTCTCCTGTGTTTGTATGTAACAAATGCAGTGGTATTACACACTTTTGAAGTCTTAATCGGTTCCTGTATAAGTATTGGCATAATTTTATGCATTTGAGCTTGGTTTGATCATTAGACATACTGCATACTTAAAACTTTAATACTTAACTCTTAATTAACCTTAATGATTTCATTGTATTTTTTGTTATTCATTTAATACTTTTGGCATTCCATTACAGTTAGTGTCCTCATTGATTGTGATTTAAAGTTGCTGCTGGAGCAGATATGAATGAATGTTTAAGAAATACATTTTTCCCCACTTACATATTTTGCTGAAAACCAGAAGATCCCTATTGGCTGATAAATAGGCAGTTTAATTTGATTACAAATTTTTACATGCTGTTAAATCACATTTTGTACCTTATATTTCACTGCAGTTCAAACATCTCTGTATTGTATTGTGAAAATAAATTATTTAGATGATCACTGAAGAATGACTTGTGTTTGCTTTGTAGGTACATAACGTTCAATATTCAAAATATTAATTTACAATTTGAATTCAGATAATTGTGTTTGTGTCAATAAAGCCTTTGATCTGTTTGTCAAGGTCCATGTAAACATGCTAACGCCCTTCTTTTATTACATTTAAGACTGATGAGGAGTAATTTATGCACATCAGGTACAGAAAATTCCAAAGATTTCCCTGTGACTCTCACATACTGCTTCTTACTGAGAACACTGGATCTGGATCTGTTTTCACTGAAGCAGGGAGAAAGTGAAATGAGTCAGTCTCAGAATGAAAGCATGTTACCACACGATACATCAGAATGCAGTCAGTTACAACATAATTGCATGGGAGCGGTTACGATGTCACATATTGTAAAAAAGAAAAGAAAAAAAAAGGTGACATGCGTACAATGAGGAACAGGTGACAATACACGCTTTCCTTCCTCCTGCGTTACACCACAGCTGCACTGAAGACACACAAGAGGCCACACAGACCTAGAGGTGAGGAAAACGTCTCATTTGTTAGTGAAATGTATTCCTTTCTAAGTGCTTATTCGATTGGTGCATCACCCTTGCATTTTTGTTATGATTTCTCTTAATGTCTATTATTTTAAAAGCCATTCGAAATACACTTTCAAACTTAATTTGTAACTTAATGCGAATCTTTATAGTAATATCAATTGAAGTATATGTTGAATTTAAAGCCTGCATCAAAACTGGTTTGACCGGTTCAATTTGTTTAAAAGGGAGGGGCAAGTAGAGATATTGTGTGTGTATGCATTGCTTGTACAATCATTTTGTTTTCTTCTTCCACCAGCGATGGCTTCTTCCGTCAGTTCCCAGGCTGAACAGTGCCTGTGTTCAATATGTCAGGATTTCTTCATTGACCCAGTAACCATTCCGTGCGGACACAACTTCTGCATGGCATGTATCAGTCAACACTGGGACTGCAGTATGGAGACTCGATGCCCCCTTTGCAAGAAGAACTTGCATTTGAGACCAGATCTTGGCATCAATAGAGAATTCAGAGAGCTTGTAGAAGGGCTGAAGAGGGTGGAAAGTCCTGTCCAACCTGGTGCAGTACCATGTGATGCCTGTACAAAAATAAAGAGAGGAGCTTTGAAGTCTTGCTTGCACTGTGAAGGATCGTTCTGTAAAATACACCTAGAGCCTCATAACACTGTAGCAAAACTGAAGAAACACAAACTTATCAACCCTGTGGAGAATCTGGAGGATTATATCTGCCCGAAGCATGAGAAGCCGCTGGTGCTGTTCTGCAGAGATGATCAGAAGTGTGTGTGCCTGTCGTGCACGACAAAAGACCACAGAAGCCACAACACTGTTCCTGTAGAGGAGGAGAGTGAAGAAAGGAAGGTGAGAGGTGCTTCATCTTTATCTGTGCTTCAACGGCTTTCAAACGTTGCCTTAATGAAAGTTTCATTTCTGTCCACAGTCCCAGTTCGGGAGAAGACAAGCCGAGGTTAATTTGATGATTCAGAACAGAATAAAGAAAACTGAAGAAATCAAATGCTCAGTACAGCTTGCCAAGGTTAGTCTTGTTGAAAGTTCATTGCATAGTTTTATTTAATGTGGTCAGAACGCCATATTGAAATCTTCTCTGCATTTCTCCTCTTCTCTAGCGTGCTTCCTTGACTAGTTAACCTGTAATACACCTGGAATTGTGTATTACGGATATTGTTGACTCTTTGATGAATTTCTTTGGTCATTCTTATTAGTAAACCGCTTTGGATAAAAGCATCTGCTAAATGCATAAATGTCAATGTAAATTTGGTGGCCATTTAATAAGACTGACTGTACATTATCCTTTACTTAGCAAAGCTCAGAAAAAGAAAAAGCAGACATTGTCGAGCTGTTCACTGATCTGATGCGCTCCATTGAGAGATGTCGGGATGAGCTGCTGGAGGTGATGGAGCAGAAGCAGAAAGCTGCAGAAACACAGGCTGAGGGGTTCATTAAAGAGCTGGAGCAGGAAATCACTGAGCTCAAGAGGAGAAACACTGAGCTGGAGCAGCTCTCACACACTGAGGATCACCTGCACCTCCTACAGGTCAGTGTCTCTCTCTGCTCACATCACAGGACAACACTCCTGACAACACTTATGAAGCATTTCTCTGCTCTCCTGCATTGCACCAGGTCTACTCATCTGTGTGCAGCCCCCCAGAAGTCAAGAGCTGGACAAACATCAACATTAAGACTGATCTACTCAACACAGACATTCTGGATAAAGCTCTTACTTGCCTCAAGGAAAAAGTCAACAAGGAACTGAAAAAAATCCATGATATCAGTAAGCATTATAGAAGTGAATTTATATGAACTTAAGAATACTTTTCTAGGCAAAAGGGGCAAGTTTGTTTAGAAGACCACTGAGCTCAAGAGGAGAAAAACTGAGCTGGAGCAGCTCTCACACACTGAGGATATCACCTGCACCTCCTACAGGTCAGTCTCTCTCTCTCTCTCTCTCTCTCTGCTCACATCACAGGATAACACTCAACATGCTGGGGGATTTCTCTCTCTCTCTCTCTCCTGCTTTAGATTTATCCATCCCTGTGCAGCCCTTTAGACACCAAGATCTGGACTGGGTTCAGTACTGATACTCATCTGAGGGAGGACGCTCTGAGGAGAGCCCTGACAAAGCATGAAGAATTTCTCAATGATGCAGTGGTGAAGATCACAGGAACTGGTGAGCATGTCCAGTATATAAAAAACAGCTTGTTTTTCTTGAATTTCTATTGTGAATAAATATAAATAGAATTATTCTGTAAGCATTCAACACTATTAAAAGCTAAGACTGCCACAGTTCTATTATTTACATACATTTTTTTAGAAAATAATCAAGTGTATAATCTGTTTCCTCAGAGCTAAAGAGGATTGAGAAGTTTACAGGTACATCATCTATGCCATTTTCCTACATTCATACACAAACATTTTCACATTTATGAATATATTGTGGGCACTTTTAGTCCTATGAACTCTTAAAACTCACTTTTCTTGCTTTGTCAAACAGTGTATCATAGCTAATTTCATAGTTAGCATTTTATTCTTAATAAATACATACAATTTAATAAGACTTTTATACTTTTTACATCATTTGACAAAATTAAAGAGTGACTGGAAATTACACACAAATTCTGCTCAAAAGTAATATTTTCCTTGATGTGTTTTTCACAAATCACGTCTCAAAGCTATCTCAAGCTGTTCAATGACACTGAAAAAAAAACATGTAAACAATTAAAAAAATTAAAAACTGGAACAATTTAAAAATTAATAATAGAAATTAAAAATTAATAGAACAATAATAGAGAACATCATAGTTTTAAATATGTAAATGGATATTCATATTTTAATATTGAAATTGTGGGACAAGTGTAAAAGAGTACATACAAAGTAGCAGATATAAAAATATGAACACAGGGAAAAACATTTCCAAGGCAGTTTTAATGGGACAAATATAACAAAAAGAAAAGTTGATGAAAGACCTTTGTTTATTCCATACTACAAATCTATGTTTAAAAAGTCTGCTAATTCTCTCTCTCTCAGTGAATGTGACTATGGATCCTGAAACAGCTCATCCAAAACTCTTCTTGTCTGAGGATGACAAACAAGCTGGATATGGAGAAACACGACAGATTGTCCCGGACAGTCCGTGGAGGTTTGATACATGTCCCAGTGTCCTGGGGAAGGAAGGATTCTCCTCTGGGAAATTTTATTTTGAAGTGCAGGTGAAAGGGAAAACTGAGTGGGATTTAGGTGTGGCGAGAGAGTCTGTTAACAGGAAGGGAATAATTACTGCCATTTTCCTACATTCATACACAAACATTTTCACATTTATGAATATATTGTGGGCACTTTTAGTCCTATGAACTCTTAAAACTCACTTTTCTTGCTTTGTCAAACAATGTCCAACAGTAGATATACATCCATGGAAAATTTGGTCCATTTTTTCTGAAAGTCATAAAAAATCTCTATCACAGTGTATCATAGCTAATTTCATAGTTAGCATTTTATTCTTAATAAATACATACAATTTAATAAGACTTTTATACTTTTTACATCATTTGACAAAATTAAAGAGTGACTGGAAATTACACACAAATTCTGCTCAAAAGTAATATTTTCCTTGATGTGTTTTTCACAAATCACGTCTCAAAGCTATCTCAAGCTGTTCAATGACACTGAAAAAAAAACATGTAAACAATTAAAAAAATTAAAAACTGGAACAATTTAAAAATTAATAATAGAAATTAAAAATTAATAGAACAATAATAGAGAACATCATAGTTTTAAATATGTAAATGGATATTCATATTTTAATATTGAAATTGTGGGACAAGTGTAAAAGAGTACATACAAAGTAGCAGATATAAAAATATGAACACAGGGAAAAACATTTCCAAGGCAGTTTTAATGGGACAAATATAACAAAAAGAAAAGTTGATGAAAGACCTTTGTTTATTCCATACTACAAATCTATGTTTAAAAAGTCTGCTAATTCTCTCTCTCTCAGTGAATGTGACTATGGATCCTGAAACAGCTCATCCAAAACTCTTCTTGTCTGAGGATGACAAACAAGCTGGATATGGAGAAACACGACAGATTGTCCCGGACAGTCCGTGGAGGTTTGATACATGTCCCAGTGTCCTGGGGAAGGAAGGATTCTCCTCTGGGAAATTTTATTTTGAAGTGCAGGTGAAAGGGAAAACTGAGTGGGATTTAGGTGTGGCGAGAGAGTCTGTTAACAGGAAGGGAATAATTACGCTGAGTCCAAGGAATGGACTCTGGACTCTATGGTTGAGGAATGGAAGTGAGTATAAGGCCTGTGACTGCCTGTCTGTCTCTCTCTGTCTGAAAGTCAAGCCCCAGAAGGTGGGTGTGTATGTAGATTATGAGCAGGGTTTGGTCTCCTTTTATGATGTGGAGTCCAGGTCTCATATCTACTCTTTCACTGGTCAGTCTTTCACTGAGAAACTCTATCCATATTTCAGCCCAGGCTTTACTTGTGGAGATAAAAATTTCACCTGTCGGCAAGAATAAATGTATTTTGGCAAATTATAACCATTTGTAAAAAATAAAATAAATAAATAAATAAAATGACGAATGATTGTCAGTGTAATAAATTATTATTCCTTTCTTTCTTTCTTTTTTTTTGCTAGTAAGACTAATTTCTTTTCACAAAAATGTTCCAATTACAATAACCTCAAGTAAAGATGATCTTTAAACTTACTGTTTTGTTGATGACAAAAAATGTTGTTAAATTTTTCTTCTCATATAAACAATGATCAAATAGAACATCAAATCAGGTAAACCCGGAAGCTCAAATATGTGAGCTTCCATGTTTATTATTATTAATAAATAAATAAATATATTATTTAATAAAATACAATATTTAAAACTTTTTCAATGAATTAAAAAAACATTTTAATAAAAATATATATTTTAATGATACTAATATAACACTGGTTGATGGTAAATATTGGCATGAGGAATACTGCAAATGACAGCATAATAGAAAAAAATGAGCAGAGGAAGAGGTGTCAATGTGTCAACACCAATCCATACAGTGCAGAACCATTTTATGCTTCTTTTATTTCAACTCCATCACTGTCATCATCTGTGTATGGGTTGTTTTGAAAACTTGTGAAAATTAATATTAAGAACATATGGATAAATCTTACCCTGTAGTTTATCACATTGTTTATTGTCGAAGCTCGAAATGTTCTTTTTATTGAATTGTGTCGATGCGGTGTCCAACCGCTAGATGTCAGGTCAAAATTTTAGCCTACTTTATGTACCGGTCATAGACTATAAAAACCGGTAGACCAAGTTTCAAGTGGTTAGACTCGTTGTGATTAAAGATGAATTTATCTGAACCGTGAATTATTGTTAGTTAACTTAAATGCCTTAATTGATAATGCCACATATAACAACATTTAAGCTGATTAATTAGTTTTAGTATCAAAGTGGAAAAAAAAAGTGAAAGTGACGTGACATGTGGCTAAGTATGGTGACCCATACTCGGAATTAGTGCTCTGCATTTAACCCATCCAAAGTGCACACACACAGCAGTGAACACACACACACCGTGAACACACACCCGGAGCAGTGGGCAGCCATTTTTTTGCTGCGGCGCCCGGGGAGCAGTTGGGGGTTCGGTGCCTTGCTCAAGGGCCCCTCAGTCGTGGTATTGAAGGTGGGAGAGAGCGCTGTACTCCCCCCCCCCACAATCCCTGCCGGTACGAGACTCGAACCCGCAACCTTTGGGTTACGAGACCGACTCTCTAACCATTAGGCCACGACTTCCCCAAGTAGTTTCAGTTTGCATTCGTTACAGTATCCTTAAGTTATTTTATGATATAATATGTGCCTATAAATAGGAGGAAACCTTTATATTTACAGTTTGCTTTTGATATTTTTCAGATCCATTTGTGCTCACACAAGTCGTATTAAACGCAAATAACCAAATTAATGTTTTTTCACAAATTCCTTCCAGATACAGTAGATACATTTTCTGAACATGTATATGTCAGTATTCTGCTTTATAATCAGCTGTAACTCAAGGCTAATATTGAGTGGAAACCTTGTTCTGGTTGTTCTGGTTTAGTAGGAGACATCCAGTGCTTTCGGCCTCTGACATTGTTTGCATATTCAGAATAAATTTTGTTTATTTTTCTTCCGGTAAAATTCTACCTCAGACAGAGCCAGACAGTATTGGGTGCATGCAACTATTTACAGAACAACTGCCTTCCATTTTTAACCACGGTAGGCTACTTGTATCTAAATATATCTATATCTTGTGCAACTCTTTGAGAAAAACACAACAGGTAAGTGTATATTTTAAAGTTCAAAAATGTAAATAAATAAAAATTCCAGAGTGCAACCCGCTCATTTGTTTCAAAACTTAAAATGTGCACAAAACTTACTTGCTAAATTCAGAACAGAAAATGTGCACTTCAAAACTGAGAAATTCCTGAAATTAATAGATTTCTTTTGCTTTCCTGTGGCCCATAATCTGAAGAGCTCCAGTGTTCCATCTGTCTGGATGTTTTCAGTGATCCGGTCACCACTCCATGTGGACATAACTTCTGTAAGGCCTGCCTCCTGAAGGAATGCTGGGAAAGCAGTCATGATAACACATGTGCATTTCACCAAGAGAGTGGATCTTAGAGATATTGAGCAGCTGTTGTCTCAATCTGAAATTCTGATGTGTAATAGAGCTCTTACCATGAGACTAAACTGGAGCCTCATGAGAAAGTCGTAAACATAAAGGAAGTCATGATGATTGACCTTGTGGAGGATATCAATCCTAAAATGATGCAGAAACATAACAGAGCTCTGGAGATGTTCTGTGGAGATGATCAGATATCTGTGTGTCAGTCTTGCACTGAGGGAGACCAGAAGAGTAAAGAGAAGAAGGTAACAAAGAATGATAATTTATTTATAGCAACAACAAAAGGTAATTAGAAATCTAAAAACATACTGGATGATGTAAAGCATCTGTATTTCCCCTCTCATCACAGACTCAGCAGATGCACAAGCGTGTGCAGCAGATGATCAGGACACCATGAAGAAAAATAAAGAAATCAAACACTCTGAAATGAAAGTGAGCAGAGTCCTACAACATGTTATTCATTTATATTAAAATGAATATCAATCCATGTTCCAAACCACTTGTCCTATGTAGGGCTGCAGTTGCAGTGTAAAACTATTATATTATATTATATTATATTAATGTCTGTGTTTTATCTGCAGGTTTTTTTATTATATTATATTGTATTGATGTCTGTTATTTGATAATATTATATTGATACAAATTTATACAATTTGTAAAGCTTATGTTTGCTGCTCATCTCTCACAGATGACACTTTCTGAGCACTGGGTGAAGACCAGGATGAAATATTTCATTTCTGCTTCATCCTCTTGGATCTACAGGATGTGCCCTTTGCTGACAAATTTAGTAACCTTTCTTTTTAACCAATAATTTCATTAATGTATTTAGAAAACTTAAAATTATATTATCACAGAATTTAGTCCACATTGTTATTTGGGTTCAATAACTGTTTAGTATCATAATCGTAATGATCAAGTCATTAGGAAGTTGTTTTTTTCATGTTAAAAATATTTATTGTATTGTATCTCAATATGCATAACCAACTTTATGAGAAACATGTATAGGTTAGCTGAAGAGTGTAAGCAGCGGCTTCCACGCATTGCTGTTTGTTTATAGAATGACTTGTCAGCATCTTGCTCAACCGGTCATGTCCGGGATGAAGGCATCTGTTTTTTTGTTTGTTCTTTTTCCAAATAATGGTCAAAGTGGGCAGACAGAAGAAATCTTTGAGACTCTGGTTTGGAAATTATCTTTATTTTGTTAGTTGCATGGAAATTCCACACCTTGAAATCACCGTTTGATTTTAGCTTCTTTAGATTTTACTCTCTTGTTTGTTTACTTTATAATGTAACCACATAATTTGAAAACTATTATAATCTTGTTGGCTGAATAAATTCTAAGGATCACGTTGCTGTCCATTGACTTTTGTGAGTACACATAAAAGTCTTACAAGACTTTAAATAATAACGATATATTGATTTGTACATGAATGACTGAATAAGCAAGCAGAAAATCTCTCTTAGTCCAGAAAAGGGCTAATGGTTTATACAACAGCAATTATATATTTTACAATTAATTAATATGAAGCTTTACATTTTATAAGCTATACATTTAACAAAAAAGCTTTAAATATTCTAAAATGATCTTTGGTTTTTCAACGGAGAGTAAATCTTTCATGTGTTTAAGTCAAAGACACACATCATCTTTCATGTGCACACACAAGATTTATCAAAGGACCTTTCCCTGAACTATTAGGAAAGTTTATGACCATTGTAAAATCTACTTATCATATTTCTCTTTTATTATCTTCATCATAAAAATATTATAATATATGTATTGTAAAATAAGTTTGTTAATTGTTATAATTGTTTGTTATTATATATATATATAAACTGTCTGAATCTTTTTATTTGCCCACTTTTGGTTCTACTAGCAGTTCTTCCTGATGCATTAGGTGGGTGGCATCTGTGGCCTCTATGGAGGCTTGATGGCAGGATGTACTCTGACGCTGGCTGATGAACACTTCCTGTAGATGAGCACTCCAGCAGACAGTAGAGAGACAGCAGCCATGATGCTCAGCACTGCTGCCACAATGACCTCTGCCTTAGACACTGTGACTGAGGAGCGACGCATGAGGCTGGGATGAGGAGTGGACCTGTCTTTCTCCATCACATCATCATCACTACTATACAGAAAAGATATAATAACTTACAGAGAGACCCAACTGACTGTGTTGAGTTCTGTAGCTGCTGACATATTATGATGCAGATAAAACACATTTAAAGTTTGGAAAAAGAAATTAGATTAACCTCTCAATGGTTCCAGTGTTTAGAAGGTCATCTGCGCTTTGTCTTGATGTAGGAGGAGCTAAACCAGAATATTTACATATTCTGTTGTCTGGGCAGAAAATGAAACCCTGATAACCAGACACCTACATAATTTAGAGACAGAAAGTTATGACAAATAAAAAGGCAGCCTAGTGCTGTAAAAAAAAGGTAAATGTTTAAGTCAATACACGAATCCTGCAGGGTTCAAATAAGGTTTATTTAAAGTTCTAAGAGATAACCAATGAGTTTCTCACTAACCTCAATGCTCTTTCCTGCTGGACAATCCAACCAATCAGAACCCATCACCTGAATTTGATATTTGTTTATTCCAGTGCATCTGTCTGTAACAATGACCTGCCACTGGTGCGCTAGCGGTCGCATTATTCTAATAAAGGGTAAAGATTAAAAATATATATATTAAAACAGCTTTTACAAGTGAATCTAATATCTGAAAACTGTACCTTTGACATTTTTAAACGTTTATAAATATTTTTGTTCATAAATGTGAGAGCATGTGGTACCAGTCCGGTGAGGTTGGATATGAAACAACGGCTGTCTGAGCCATATATCTCTCCACTCCCTTCTTTCATTCCACTCCTCTCATTGTCCTCTTTCAAGCACTCACTCTGATGAAAAAAGTGGCATTACACATGA